CCCCCCCCCCCCCGCCCCCGCTAGGCTACTGATGCGCCCAGAGCAGCGATTGCGGTCCCACCTCCCAGCCTGGGAGTCCCAGCTGGGAGGCAGGGCTGCAATCAGCGCCAGGCTTCTGTGCAATCACAGGTTCCTAGCACCAATCGTGGCGGCTTCCGTCCGGTGTGCAGTCGGAAAAATCAGAGAATACCAGACATTGCACATGTCCAGTATTCTGATTTTTTTTTAAACCGAAAAAAGAGCGCAAATACCGGACTGTCCGGTAGAATACCAGATACCTGGCAACCCTGGCTGCCAGACAGGCTGCCGTGGCCCTGCCCCCACTGCTGGGCTGATATGCAGCCCTGATTTAGCTGCCGTGGCACCACCTGGGTTGCTGGGCTGCCCCTGCCCTGCTACCACTGCCGGGCCGCTGAGGCTCTGGCCCTGCTAGCACTAGCCTCGCCGCACGCAGGGCTCTCAGCTACTGGCCCTCTTGCCCCAGAGCTCTCTCATTCAGGAACATCTGTGGTCCTGCCTGACCACGGATGCTGCCAGATGAGAGAGTCCTGGTTTAGGGAAGTGCAACCTGTACTTTCATTTTGATAAAAAATGTGCCAAATTTTACAGGTTTTGTTTTAAAAAAACATTATTGATTTTTCAACAGAATTCTAAAAAAAATTAGCAAAATTTTCCATGTTCTCAAAAAGGTATTTTTCATTGTGAAACCTTTTCAATCAACTGTACTATTAATCCTTTAAGATTTACTCATTATTAAAATCTTTTTGTAATTTTATCTTGAACTTTACGATTTGAGCCACAGTTCTGGAAAGATTTACACATATGCCTAATTTTATGCACTATGGCTATTTCCAACTGACTTCAAAGTTACAGCATACGAAAAATCTTTGCAGGTTCAGAACTTTCAACCTTAATTTTTAAAGCTGAAAGGGAAGCTTCTGTCAATGAAAATGGAAAAGTGAACTATTTACATTACCAGTTAACCCTTTCCTATTATTTTAAATGTTCAACATTTTTCTCAGTCAATGTCCTAAATTTAGTGAACTGTGAAGCTGTATATAAATATTTTCAAAACAAAGACAGAAGTCTTCTGGGAGAAAGAAAATTGAATCAAAAACAAAGAAAAACTCACTCAAAATGTGATTGTAAAAACGGAAACATTCATATGTGACTCAGGAGAAGCTGAAGCACCCGAAACTACTTTTTGTTTTAATTGACCAGGAGTCAAGTTGCCCATAACACTTCACCTTGTCAACCCGAGTAGTAGTTACTCAATCATTTTCTGACACTTTCCATAGTTTCATGGTTTATACTATCAACCATCACCAAGCTGGTCTTTTATCAATTATTAATTGGTTGAATTCAATGTCCTCAATTTTGTCTTATATCCTGAATTCCTCCACATGTTCACTGATTGCCTGGCTCTGAAGGCATTATTGCTTGAAGATGAAGCGCAAAGTAAAACCGGAAACTGAATTAAGGGCCATAAATTTTCACAAAATTCCCTCTGCTAAAAAATGTACTGGCAAGGGAGGGGAGAGGAAAATGTGTGTAGTGTATAGTGTTAACCTATAAGCTTTTGCTTATTGGTTAATCGGTTAATCGACTATACTATTACATCCCTAAAGCAGTACTGTATGTTAGAGCCACGCTGTTAATATATGGACCTTTTTGTTCAGTTTGTTGATCATTGTCACCCATCTTTTTTTCATTTCTTTACACTAACAGTAACACCCCAGAGTCACAAACTGCTGTAGTTTGTAATGAACAAATAGATATTTTGTGCTCTCTAACTAAGCATGGCTGTAGGATTCATAGAGCTGTAAAGCCTTTCCTCATACCACAACCAGTAAGGGATGACTGCCAGGCTACAACCTGAACTGTGACGAGGCTGGGGGCTAGCTGCCCAATAGATAAAGCCCTTTGGTGGCAATGGAAAGACTCCTATTAATTTTAATGGTCAGGCCTCATAGGAGCAGCTTTTCTTTCTTTTGTTTTTTTTCTTCCCCACAGAGTTTAAGGCCAGAAGGGATAATTACATCATCTAGTCTAGCTTTTTGAAAAGGAAAATGAATAGAAGAAAAGTCTGTCATATGTAATTATATTCTAAATACCAATGGAATGTGGATCAGGATTATTGGGTGTCCATTCTTGGCTCTGGTAAGGGACTGCAGTGTAGTAGTTAGACCAAGGTATTGAAAGTTTTGTCCTTTTTTTAAAACAACAGTTAGTGAACTGACACAGTACTTATTCATCTGTTGAGCTCAATGTACTTTGAGCAGATGAGCCTACAGAAATAGCCCCATTTTAACAATGGCATAGCTAAGCACAGATTTCCCATGTTTTTCAAGAGGCAGTATAGGTAATTGCATGAGATGTGCCTGCTATACTGGAAATGAACTCACAGCAGTGACCTTCTGCAACCTGTCTTGGTCTCAGTACTGAAATTTGCCTTCTCCTAGAGCAGTAGTGTGAAACCTTGCTCAGTAATAATATGTTTGGAGACTTTTCAACCCTTAACATTGCCCAGTAATATAGGTGCAACAAGAATACATGGACTTCTAGCTTACAACTTATTGCTTCTCCTTCTACAAATATTAGCACATATTAGTACATAAGCAGCATTGTTTGCGGTACTACAGTGATAGCTGTCAATACAAGAATCAAGACAGAAGAAGGAAGAGGATCCATTTTGCCTGCAGCACAAATAGGACTATAGCTGTATAAAGTGACACTATCACATATTCAAGTACGGCTATTCTGTGGCTGTCAATTTTTTATAGGAACAATGAAAAGCACTTCTCTGACCTTAGTGCTATTCCTCTGCCAAATTTCAAGTTCCTACTCCAAACCCAAGGCATTAGAGCTATTCAGAAAGAAGGGGGGGGAGGGGCGGTAGGGATTTACATTGATAAGAACTCCCTATTTTTCCATCCATTAAATTTGCTCTTGAAACAAACTAACTTTTCTGGACCAAAATTTCCAAGAAAAATAATTCTCAAGAAGAGACCAAGTATGAGAAAATTAAAATAAACTAAACATGGTTTTATAATAGGTTAACCAGTAAGCATCACCCTTAATGGGATGCTTAAGGATGTTTGTTTTTCAAAAAGTGTATTACCCGAGTTATTTGCACCAGAGCAGAGCAATGAAAACTTGATTTTTGTGGTTCTCATGCACTAGTGTAATGCTCCAACATTTGGATGAAGGGTGATGTGAAATTTTTTTTTGTTAATGTTGTGCAAATATTTCTATTAAAATTATCTTTGTTCTTTTTAAACAAAAAAAATGTAAGGTGCCCAATAGTGTCCCTTTAACAATTGTTTTTAAATATATTGGAAATTTAAATCTATTTATGCAGCCTATTCTTGTTTTAAGGGCCAATCCTACTCCCACTAGAGTTAAAAGGAATTTACTATCCACTTGAACAAGAGCAGACCCCTAGAATGTTATAAACAGATTCTGTATTTACTTTGAAACCATTGCCATTCAAATTTAAAAACAACAGAAAAAGAATTCGGAAAATGCAAGCTGTCTAAGGAATTCAGAGTCCACTCTTATTTCAAAGAATAATACAGCATTATATTGAGGGAGTAGCAAAGAAGAAAGACTCTAAACCTAAAATTATATCTTATATTGGCTTAAAAAATAATCCAATCAATTTTTAATACAATCATCTTGTTAATATTGATAATGTATTTGCCTTCCTTTTATTGGCACAAGAATATAATAGTCCAAACAGAATACATATTAAAGACATACCATTAAGCTATATATGCACATTATATTGTTGTGCCATATGTCAACATTAAAACTACTATTCTCAGTTACATTAGTGAGGATTATTGTATACAAGATGAAGTACCATTCCTATACTGAACACACAAACATCTCAGAGAGGTGTTGTGCTTAAATCAAGGGGTAGTAAAAATTTAAAAAATGAATACATACATTTTTAATGTGTAAATTATTTTTTTTAAAGTGAACCTATTTAAAATTAAATGAGAAAATATAACAATGTGTGTTAAGGACTAAGCTTAACTCTATTAAAATAATTTAAAGTAAATAAAAATATTCAAGCAGTACCTGTTTGCTGCTGAAATTTTAAAGCCAAACCACTGCACTGCTGGAAGTCACTGGCTAAGCACTTAAGACAGGTGTGTGAAGTGCTAAATCAGCTTTTGACAAGAGTATCCTCTTCTGCTGGTTCAGCATGACTATTTTCTTCATTTTAGTTTATTCAAGTAATTCAGTTCAATAAACAGGTGATTCAAAGTTGAGAAACCAACTGGAAGTTGAAAAAGCAGAAAAGTTCATTTGTCTCTTTCAATTTATTACAAGAAAAGAGGTGTAAGAGGAGGAGATCTATTATGTCTAAAATCTTGAAGAACCCAGTAATGAAACTATTGAGTTCAAATCTAACTACGAATAATACTTCATTTGATTAATAAATCAGTTTTAAAAACAAAACATGTTTTGATAAACATACCACATTCTTTCATGAATCCAGCATATTTAAGATTTTAAAATACGGTTTTGTGCACTTTAATTGACTATTAGTTGGCCCTCCCTGGTCTCAGATGAGGGACTTTGTTGGGCCAGGTGAAGACTTCCTGTCCCCCACTCCCACAGACCCCTGCCAGCCCTGGCTTTGCTACCGATTGGAGGCCTCCCCGCCACAGCTGCCACATGCTAGATTTTCTGTCCTCGCTGGCAGCTCTGCTCCTGTGTGCCAGGTTTCCCGGTCTCACCGGACGGCCCTGCTGCCACACACTGGGCTTCCTGGCCTTGTCAGACGGCCTTGCTGCCACACTTCCCGGTCTGCAGGACTACTGGCCACCAGCCCTCCGCCAGGACTCTGTGGTCCTGCAACATCCATGCCAGACCACAGATGTTGCCGGACCAGAGAGTTCCTGTTAACAGAAGTTCAACTTGTAGTACTTTCCATCCAAATGCAGTTTGACACAAATAACGAGTTTTAAAAAAAAAGGCTTAGTAAGATATGAATCATTTGTCATTCTCTAACATAATAAAAAAAGTACAACATAAGAATCTGAATATTTATTTTAATCTATATAATTGTTTAAATAAATGTGTATAAGACATCGTGTATTATCTTGATTAGAAAACGGAAGTGCCAAATTATACTGGCCGAACAAAATTAGCTTCTCGAGGAAAAAAGTACAAATGCAAAACAAGATTAAAATAGGCTATTTAAATCAAGGTTTCCTGCTTGCTGATTTAAATCAGTCCACCCTGGGTTGAATGTGCTAGAAATGTTTCTATACTACTGTATTAAATTGGTGATTTTGCAATGTAGAGGAAGAGATGGCATAAGTGGGAAAGGAAGTGAAGGCAGAGAGATCTAATCTCATCATTAAATCAGCACAAATTAAATCATTTCAGAATAAAATAGGGGTGTGGTATTCAGAGAACATTTATGAGACTGTCCAAATTTAGCATAAGAAAACAGGCAGATTGTGGGAACCTCATGGGAATAAGCTGCATCTGTTGTTGAAGGCAGCCTTGCAAAATTCTACTGGCTCGCTTGCCCTGGGCAAGTAATTTTTTTGACAGCCAAATATAATATTAGTTTTTTTCACCATCATCCAGATATAGGTGAGTAAAAAGATTTTGTGCCTAGACTAAAAAATGTTCATGATGATTTTGCAAGTCAGGTTTTATGGAAATTGAAACCATTGAATTTTTATTTTTTTTGCTGAAAAACAAGAAAAGCTAACAAATGAACAAAACCTCATTTTTGTTTCCATCTGCATATTGCACTGCCACCATTTTATATCCAATAAATATACAATTCAGAATTTTTAAAATTCAAAGCTATTTCCATATCATTGCACAGCCAAGGATTTCTTGAGAAACTGAAGAAGTCTCAAAATGTTTCTTCTTTTGTTTGAATCCTCCATTAGGGAAGGTAGCACACAGTTAGAAATCTTTGTGTTTTGTGTCTGCATGAATAATTTCCTCATTTTTATATCCCATACAAAAAACTGAATGCAGGACAAAGGTAAACTTTTAAGATTGACACTCTTCTCCCAATGTTTCCATTGGGGTATCAAAATTACTTGTAACTGCCAAGACTTCCACTTGTGAAATTAAATCCAATGTTGAAAAAACCTGTGTCTACTGGAGTCCAGTGAAAAGTGTCAGACCCTTCGGGGAAATTGCTGAATAGTGTGAGAATGACGCTTACATTTCCATTTTAATATAGTTGAAATGGAATGGATTCAAAATGGAATAGTTGCGTAAGTTTTTAAAAATTTTCATGCCTTATGTGGCTATTACTGAACATCTCCATGCAAAAAGGCAAGGACTCCACCAATAAGATCAACGCTGATGCAGTGCTCCCTCTGCATCAATGAAGATCACTGCAGTATTGGCACTCAGATAGGAATCACCTATACTTCCCCTGTGCAGCAAGTCATAGATAATTTTAGCTGGATCAAATCCACAGTTAAATATGTCCATTTTGCATCCTTCTGATGTGTGAAAAAAGTCTGAAAAGGGGTATGCTTTAAAGATTTGTTTTAAAAAGGCAAAAATAAAAAGTTTTATATTCCTTGTTTTTGCTGGAGGACTTTAAGAACCCAGAGGAGTGGGGGAACCGTTTGTCGAGATAATGAATTAAATGTAACACTTGTTAACTAAAAAACTAAAAATATTTGAAGTTTTGAAATGCAAATTCTTCTCCCATTAAACTGATATGTAAGAGACCAATGTATAAAGAAGGCCTGACTATTTATTTTTAACTTTCTCTTTTTTTACATATACATTCCAAGCAGATATATATTATAGGCACCCGTCCTGCAAACTGCTGTGTGAGTGAACACCCAGCACACCCACTTGGAATGTCCAGACTTCTGTGTGGGTGAACCTCTGTGTCCATGCAGTGTTCCACTGAGCAATTTGCAGGATCAGGGCCTAAATAAGTATCCAATCCCAGTAAGAGTTACTATTTGTGCTTTTTGAAAATCCCACCCATAGTATTTAACAAGCTATAGGTGGATGCCAGTGTAATCAGTGGGCTGAGAACAAACACTGCTGGGAGTCAGAAACTGAGTTTTGATTCTGGCTTCACCTAACTAAGGCCATGTCTACGCTACACTGGAAGTTTAAACAATAAAGTAATGATGAGGGTGTACGTAAATAGCAAAAATAAGGACACATGGATTCAGGCTCAGGTTAATTTTTAAATCTACAAAAACAAAAGTGCTCCTCGGGTTTCTAACATGCTTTGATGATTTAATGTGCTATACAAGTGCCAAGTATTTTTATTTCTATTATTTTGGAAAGTGTCTGAATATGTGGTTCTTTTAGCCCTGGTCTACATTAGGGAGTTATTTCAAAATAATCTCCTTATTTTGAAATAATAAACAGAGCGTCCACTACCAAGCCTGTTATTTCGAAATAACAGGCTGGTTATTTTGAAATCTGTACTCCTGCTTTCCTGGGAAAATAAGTTTATTTCAAAAGAGTTATTTCTGGATTTATACTGAAATAATTTCCTAGTGCAGACATGCTCTTACTGTAATAATGAAGAAATTCCCATTAAAAAGCCAGTTTCTACCATTCCACAAACTGTATTAATATGGTGCTCATGTCACTTGAATAATAATGCTGGCTATACCAAAGTGAGGACAATGCTATGCAAGCTATCCCACTCAGTTCTGTCCATCCTTATTGACAGACATTATTCCCAGACATCCATGCCCCAAGATTTTTGAACAATGACTACAAACTGTGAACTTGATCCGCAGCATGTTCAACTCCCACTTAAATTGACAGAGTTGAACAGCAGAGTTACAAGATTGGACATGATGCAATTTTGCAAAATAAACAAGAAACTAAGACCTAAATATTTTCACTGAAGATTCTAAACTGAATTTGAATTCAGTTCTTTTGAGGGGAAAGGTAATGCGGTACTTCATTGCTACCCTTACCCAGGGCACATACTAAATAAGACTAAAAACTGGCTGAGAGGTCTGAAAACGTAATTTTAAAACGGAAACTCATCATCAAGGCTATGTCTAGACTGCAAGCCTCTTTCGAAAGAGAGCGTCTAGACTGCACATTGAACTTTCGAAAAAGCAGCTTGCTTTTTCGAAAGAAAGCATCCAGTGAGTCTGGATGCTCTCCTTCGAAGAAGCCCTGTTTACATTGAAGAACGCCTTCTTTCGAAAGAGGAACTTTTGAAAGAAGGCGTTCTTCCTCGTGAAATGAGGTTTACCGCCATCGAAAGAAAAGCCGCGTTTTCGATTTAATTTCGAAAGAACGCGGCTGCAGTCTAGACGCAGGGGAAGTTTTTTCGGAAAAAGGCTACTTTTCCCGAAAAAACCCCTGAGTCTGGACACAGCCCAAGTGGGTGCACTTCTAAGGGGGTGAGGGGGAAATCCCACAAGGATCAATTTTTGGCACTAGACTATTTAACATGTTTATTGATGACTTGTAATAAACCATAAAATACTTACTGATTAAGTTTGCAGATGACACAAAAATTGTGGGAGTTATAAATAAAGAAGATTTACAGGTCTCTGATACAGAGGAACCTGTATTGTTTGATAAACTGGGTACAAGCTAACAATATGTGTTTCAATACAACAAAACGTGAAGTCATACAAAAACAAAGAATGCATGTCATACTTACAGGATGCAGGATTCTAACCTGAGAAACAATGACTTTGAAAAAGAGGTAGGTGGTATATCACTATGCACATCAGTTAAAGAGACTCAGAAAAGGCTAATGTATGGATGTATAAAAATGGGACTATCAAGAGGGGCTAGGAAAGTTATTTTACTATCCTGGGGTTATCATGACTGGATTACCATATCCACACTGTTTCTACAATTAAAGAAGGATGTTAATAAATTAGAGAGAATTCAGAAGATCCATGAAAATTTGTAAAGAACTGAAAAACAGGAGGCTCAAGGACTCAGTGTATTCACTTGAATCAAAGAAAAGATTAAGAGGTGATTTAAGATAGGTTGCATAAGTATCTCTACAGGGAATGGAAATCTGGTAACAGAAGGACCCTTAATTCTAATAGACAAAGGTACAACAACATCAGATAGCTAGAAGTTGAAACTAGACAAATTCAGAGCACAAGACAGACATAAATCTTTAAACAGTGAATGTAATTAACCACTGGAATGATTTAATCAATGGATTTACTGTGATGGCTTCTCCATCATTGGCAATTTTTATATCAAGTGTACATGTTTTTCTAAAAAATATGCTCTAATTCAAACAGGAATTAATTAATTAGTCTTTGTTGCTCAGGAGGATGATAATGGTCTCCTTTGGTCGTATCATCTATGAATCTACTTTAAACATTTTTTTTGCCCTATTAGATTTTGTAAAATCCTTGTAACCAAAACACATTTTTGTTCTATACTGACTGTGTGGTTTTAATTCCTCTTTACTTTGGTGCCTTTAAAAGAAGTTTTAGATTACACTTTGCAGCTTTTTAAAAATGAAATTCATATTTCTGAATACCTCCAGCATGCTATTTTTAAAAAAAGGGCTATTTATTTCTGGTTAAAAATCCATTTACACACCAACTTCTTATATTTTAAATGGCAAATTGAGAAAGGTAAACTGCCACATCATTAGTATGGTTAACTGCCGTCCCAGAAAGGTTAAAATGTTCAGAAGTAACATGGAGATACCTACCAGTTAGTATTCACTACTTGCAGGTGTTCTGATCCCTTTCAGAAGCACAGAACCTCTTTTCAAAGTATGTGGTTTATTGACACTGCTTTGGATCTCTATTTCTGTGCATCCTAATCTGGAGAAGAGTTGAAAATCAGAATGCAGGCCTGGGTGTATGTGTATATGTCCCAAAAAAAGTAAAAATGACATTTCCAAACTTTACCTGCAAACACTGCTACAGGTTCCATCTTTTCAAACTAATTCATTTTGCATTTTAAGATGCCAGAACTAGAACTTATCCCATGGACTCAATTAGTTAACTAAAAGATCCATAAGGATAAATACTGGTATATTAAAAACACAAGCATATTGGGTCCTTCAAATTTATGAAAATTAAGTTCTTTATGCTGCTTTTTCACCTGACTTGTCCAATTTTCCTTCACCATTTGTGAAAGACAAAAACATACACAAAATCCTCTCTGCATAGCTGCCAAACTCATATTTGGAGATGAGGAAAGAGGAAGATCTCCCTGGTTCTTCAATTTTGCAGTAGCTTAAAAACAAAAAAATACTTCACCATGAGGGATTTTACAGCATGTTCCCAGGAGATTTAGGAATCTCATTCAACTGGGACAAGAATCATCAGATTTGTAAATTTCAAAACTGTGATTACTTTTTCAGTATTGCTCCCTCCCCCCATCAGAGCCTCCAACTCTCCCAAAAAGCCACCCACAACAGTATTTAGATTTTAGAACCTCCTCTAAATCACCATTGGGAGAAAGCATAACACAGGTCCCATCATCTGCAGACAAAACAATAGGGAGGCGAAGAGTGGGGAGAAATACACACTCAGCCCCTTCCACCTAAAAAATATTTAAAAGTATAAAACTGCTCAGTGAAGACACCCCTTTGCCTGTCTCTGGCCGTAAGAACTCTCCCATGGTTTATTCCTTTCTCCTTTCTTCCCCTAAACCTTGGAAAGACATCTTTTTTTTTGTAACGTTTCCCTAGAAATGATCACTGAGCCAGGGTGTGGGGAGTTTGTTGATCTCAGCACCCTTCTCCCATATTATAAATGATTGAAAACTGAAGGGAGAATCCCTCTCAAATCTCAGTTCTAGAAGCAATGGCTAGAGATGTGTGTGTGAGAAATACTTCCCAGCTTCCACCAAAGACATTTCACTCACGCTCTCCAACACGCCCAGCACCCCCAGCAGAGAAAGCAAAGAATGCTAAAATCCCTACCGTGAAGTGCAGCTCTCTGCCTCTCTCCTACTCAGCCTGTGTCTGTACCTCCTCCTCCTACTGCCTCGTCGCCATCTTGCATTTCAAAAACTACTGCACTTTTTTTGGGGAGGGGTGGGTAACTGAACTGTGAACTTTGAACTCACATAGCACTTTAAACCCACCCTGAACACACAGACCCTGATTTGATCTGTGCATTAAAACTCCATTCCCCCTTCGATGCAGAGAGTCTATGCCATGCTCTGAGTGTGGGAAACGGGTGTAGCAATAGGCAGTGTCTCTCACTCAATCACACATGCAGGAGCAGCAGGGAGGGGAGGAGCTGTTCCAGCAGTGATACAATCGCCTCTCGTCTTGCGTGTGAAGCTGGGGAGTGGTAGCTGCCACCATTTATAAAGCTGGCACAACAGAAGGCTGCCCTGTGATTGGTCCCAGCAACGTATTATTCTAGCCATAGGGATCAGGACCAAAAAAAAAAAAGCTAGTGGTCACATGACATCTCCCCCCATCTCTTACCCACTAAGCTGCTAAGCTAAGGGACCCAAGGCAAAGATCATCCTGTCCCTATGCTGTGTATTTCTCTCTCTCTCCTAGTTTATCAAGTTACAATCTAGTGGTGTTAAATGAGGAAGCAGGTTATTACAACTATTTTAGCCCAATTTCTTTTTTACCATGGGTGCTTTTTGTAGCGTGCGAAAGGAAAAAGCAAACAAAGCAATTAGAGTTTCATTTTCTAGTTTACACAATAGCAGCGGGCTGCAATGTTTGGGTTCAAACAAACTTTTTTTTCTTTCTGTGTTAGAAGCACTGAAGAGTGGGCACTGCTTTTAAAAGAATGGACCTGTGCTCTTTTCGTTTCTTTACCAGTAGAGCTTTGAGCAACAATGAAGGTGAATGTGGCCAAGCACTTTTCATTAAGAGACTTTTTCAGTTACTTAAAATTTTAGCAAATTTCAGGTGGTTGGACAGAAATGTCTCAATGCCCAGATCAGCCTCAGACTGATTTTTTTTTAAACATTTCAGAAAAACTGATTCAATCTGTGTCACAATACGGTGAGTGATAATTTTGTTTCTCCTCCTTTCCCCATTCATCACAAATGTGTAAATGCCTGTCATCTGTGGAATTCAGAGGTGGTTCAGTGTTGTACTAGAGCAGTGGTCTCCAACCTTTTTATACCCAAGATCACTTTTTAAATGTCAGGGCAAGCCAATATCTACCCCATCCGTTCCCCAAGATCTGATCCCTTCCTTGAGGCCCTACCCTCTCTGTTCCCCTCCTCTCCATCATTTGCTGTCTCCAGGCCTCACTCACGCTCCTGGTGTTGAGACAGAAGGTGCTGGTTCTGGGATGGGAATGAGGGATTTGGGTGTGGGAAAGGGTGAGAGGTGCAAGCTCTAGGAAGGAATTCGGGTGCAGGAGGAGGAGGAGAAGGGGATGCTGACTCAGGGAGGGGGCTCCAGGCTGGAGAGTGTTGGGGTCAGGAGGAGGGTTGGGGTGTATAAGGGGCTCAAGGCAGGAAGGTTGGGTGTACAGTGGGGATTTAAGGGGCTCACGCCAGTGTATGATAGGCTCAGGTTTGGGGTCTGGGTGTGTGTGTGCAGGAGTGTTATGATGCTGCATCCAGATGGGGGCTTGGCCCCAACTGGAGGATTGTTGGACAGGCTTCATTTTTAAATAAAATATGTCAAACACAAAATGTTTCAGCATTGTTTTTATTTATGAGAGGTGTGGGGAACCTGTTTTAAGTCAGGGGTCACTGACCCACAGAAAAATCAGTTGGAGACCACACTAGTGAAATGCAAAATAAACCACACACCACACACACCACCCTCCAAAACCCCCCAAGTCTCATTGATGTAGCCCCAGCTGAGACACCTCACTCTCCCGGCACTCTAAACCTATGGGGGCGGAGAAGAGGAGGTAGAACTAAGGTTCAAGGCCCTCCGGCCAGATTAACTCTTTCTGGGGTTTCAGGGTTAGTGGAATTTGTGGGCCCCTCTACACTCTGAAATGAGGCAGGACAGGGCTCCCAGTGAGTGGGATAGGGATGCAGAATCTGGGTAGAAAATAAGGTAGAGGAGCAAGCTGGAGGTAGGTGTCTGGCCAGGAGGGAGGGGGTAGGAGCAGGGTGCTGGTGGGCATCTGGCCATGAAGCAGGGGCAGGGTGCTGAATGCTATCTGGCCACAAGGCAGGGGCAGAGTTTGGGATGGGATCTGGCAAGGGGGCAGAAGCAGGGTGCTGGTCAGGCCCTGGGCAGGGTGTAGGTGGGAGTCTGGATGGGGCCAGATGCTGGTGGGGCCCTGGCCAGGGTGAGGGAGCAGGGTGCTGTTGGGGAGGACTGGCCAGCAGGTGAAGACAAGGACAGCTCGACTGGTACCTGGGGATCTCGCAACACGTGTGCTGCTCCTCCCCTCCTCAAAACAGCTGGCATGCTTCCTGAGATGGTACTGAGCTGATCTTGTCCATGAATAGGTGTAAAATAGTAACGTGCAGCAGAAGCCTTGTTGTCTATTAAGACATTTAAGATTTTGGGTGCAATGCACAGGAAAAAAAGGCAATCTTGCACAGAAATTTTAAGCTCTCAGAGATACTCATTTTGTCTGGTCAATATTGAGGATTGGGTTGGTTTGAGTAGAAAATGCATCAAGATTTTCTTGAAGATGCAGCTCCGATTTTTCCTTTTGTTAGTGGATCAGTCCCTTCTTGAATACCACTTGTATTCTCCACTACTAATTTATCTGTTTCCCCAAACATCCCCAGACCTGTACATTTAGATACACAGAGTATCTGTGATTACTGGTTGCTACTGATTTAACAGATTTCTTGTAACCTGTAGTAGCAGTCATCCCCCATTAGGTCAAAGATTTGACCACAATGTGAACTCAAGGCCTACCTTACTCAAAGCAAGGATATGCTTACCATCAAGTAGGGATGTAATAGTGTAGTCAATCAATAAGCAAAAGCTTATAGGGTTAATGCTATAGACTACACACATTCCCTCCCCACACCAGTAAATTTTTTAGCAGGCTGGTCAGCAGCCTGGCAACAGGTCCCAGACCTACCCCTACTGTGGCTCTGAATTTAAGTGTCTTAGAAGTCAGTTGGGCAGGCAGCCCATCTCAGTTCTGTCTCGCACTGGGTCCAGGAGCTCAGACCCCCTTAGACAGGGACTGCTGCCTCTTTATCAGGTGACCTGGTTTTTAAACCGGCTCCTCACACAGACCAGCTCCTGCCTGGCACCCCATGCTGCTGCCTCTGATACAGAGGCAGCAGTATGGAGTGGCAGGGGGCTACTCGGGAGTGAGGCCGGAGCACACTGACTGCTGGCCCTGTTCCAGAGACAATAGAATAGTCAACTAACTGATAAGAATTCATGAGGTTAATTGTATCAGAGGGGGTAGCCGTGTTAGTATGGATCTGCAATTGAATAATCAATTGAATTGATTATTCAATTAACCGATATTTAACATCCCTACTATCAAGTAGTCTTTTCTTATTAAGGCCATGTTTTATCTTACACTTTTTGGTCACCAGTTACATCAGCATACATCTGCCAAAATTTTTATAATCGTTTGGGCATGTGAATACATGGCTACTTGTTTTAGCACTGCAAATACTCATCAAGAGTGTTTGGGTTATTGCAAAGTCCCATGCCCTGGATCAGTATCCCAATGTGCCCTGAACTACTTCATGGTGGAATACCTTTTAAGATGGAAACGACATGTCCAGGACATTAGGGAGCAAGGGGCCCCAGCATGCAACTTCCTCTATCCATTATACTATTCATAGATCACAATTACTGTGCCTTAAAAAAAAGTCTACAAAATACACATGGCACTATTTGGTCTCTGCATCTCTGACAGAAGCAAGGAGTCAACAGAGATCTAGCATCGCCATTATCATGAATATTGCAAATACAGGACACACAAATCTCTTGTACTTACAGACTTGCAGGCAACAATGGAAATGCCAGTTTCTTCTAGGATAGTTTGCTCAGGAACATAGTGAAAAATAACACAAGGCTATGGGAGACATTAATGGAGCAGCTGCAGATGGTGGTGCACCACTGATGGGATCACATTGTAATGCAGATTTGGGATGACAAGTAGCAGTGGCTGCAGAACTTTCCACTAAGGAAGGCCATATTCCTAGATCTATGTTCTGATCTGGCACCAGTCCTCCTCTGCAAGGACACCAGAAAAAAAGAAGCAGTGACAGAAGTGTAGTGTTCACAATCTGGAAACTTGCAATGCCAGATTGCTATCAGTCAGTGGAAATCATTTTATAGTTTGAAAATCCAGTGAGAGCCATTGTCACACAAATGTATACAGCCATTAATCATCTTCTGCTACAGAAGACAGGCAATGTGGGGTTCGCAAACTGTGGAAGAGTAAGGTGCTCTCTTAGCAGGTGCAGTATGACTACTATGTTTTTGGAAGACTTATGAGTAAAGAGTGACAGCGTTTCTTCAGACTGGACCTCAGTGAGAAAAACCATCACAATGATTATAGCTGCTTGTGTTCTGTGCAATATATCATGCATGGGGGAAAAGCTGCTGTTAGGGTGGAGGCAGAGAGGCTTTGAACAGCTAGAACTCTTGCCAACTTAGGCTACGTCTATGTTGGCAAGATTTTGTGCAAATACTATTAACGCAAGAGTTTTTACATTAAAGTATTTGCTCAAGAGAGTGTCTACACTGGCATGTGCTTTTGCACAAGAGATGTGCTTTTGCGCAAAAGCATCTGTGCCAGTGTAGACGCTCTCTTGCGCAAGAAAGCTCCGATGGCCATTTTAGCCATCGGGCTTTCTTGCGCAAGAAATTAATGTTGCCAGTCTATACTGGCCTCTTGCGCAAGAACAGTTGCACAAGAGGGCTTATCCCTGAGTGGGAGTGTCAGAGCATTTGCGCAAGAAGCACTGATTTTATACATCACAACGTCAGTGTTCTTGTGCAAGTACTTGCGGCCAGCGTAGACAAGTGGCAAGATTTTGCGCAAAAGCAGGTGCTTTTGCACAAAATCTTGCCAATGTAGACACAGCCAAAGACCGTTGTAAGAACACAATGTGGAGCTATGCAGTTGATGAAAGCTTTAAAAGATTAATTTTAACAGTCAGCCTCGCTGTTCTGTGCTGGACTGTTCTCTGGTCCTGAAGCTTTGGGTGTTAGTAATTGAGCATTTATAATTACAAGAGTTTTACAGGAGCTGTGAAACAGCCTGGTCGGTTGCACACAACAAAGAAAAGCTCCAAGGTGCACTCAAGGTGGAAAAGCAGGAACATTTTTTTTCCAAAAAACATACAAGGGACTTGGGAGAATTAGGGATGTAAAATCCACTTTAATTTGATAACCCTTATGTCTAACTGGTTAACCAATTAAGGGGGACAATAGAGCGCCCACTGCGGATGGGGGCTATTTAGGCCAGCCCCAAAGGATTGGAGCACCTCCATCCCTGCGGCAGGCTAGGAGCTGCACTAGCCCTTACTGGTAAACCGTTAAGGGTGAGGCTTAGTGGTTAACCATTCCAGCCCCATCACCTATGAACAATGAAGCTTAAAACTATGACCAGAGTGGTCACTGTAGAAAGGAACAGGGCATTGTGGAACAGCTGCTATAGGTTTTGCACTGTCTACAATCAGAGTCAACCATAGCTCTGTCACCAAAGAAAGTGGCTTTACTTTTTCACCATAATGAGATGCCTATGCTAGCTAGAGACAAATTTTAGTGCACAACTAGGCTGATGGAAGGCAACTTATATAGAGCCAACTTTATAATGTAGACCAGGTCTGTTGACAATGGCTATAGCTGAGACTCTGAAATTTCTGGTCTGTATCTTTGCTCTATGTGACTTATGGGAAAGAAAGAGTTTTTTGAAGGTGTGATGTGTCTTCCATTGATATTATACAGCTGCACTAAACTTAGGTTTCCAAAAACCTAGGGAAATGTTTTGGTTTTATATAATGCTTTTAATATTTTTGCATATGCAGGAAACCTTGTGTTTAATAATACTTGAAAAGCAAAGATTTTTTTTAAAATTAACTCATTGTTGACCACTGGCTTCCTGACCTATGAGCCATGCAGGGTATTTTTTGGTGCTATGTGTATGTATTTCATCTGGTTGTTTACAGAAGAGATCTAGCATCCCAAGCTGGCTGCCATTCAAGTACTAGAGAATTTGCATGTTTCTGTTTGAGCCTTCTCATGGTGAAGTACTGACTTCATGCATTATATCCTTCATGGGAGAAGGATATCAAAGCCTGAGCCATGCCTGACTGACTCAGAAAAGAACGGTTACTTACCTGTAACTGTTGTTCTTCGAGATGTGTTGCTCATGTCCATTCGACTCCCACCCTACCTCCCCTTTGTCGGAATATCCGGCAAGAAGGAACT